GAGGCTGTGCCCAACAGTGCAGCCCTGGGTGCTTTACTGACATCCCCAAATGCACAGATATTCTGCTTTATGTTTATCTGCAGATCCTTCCTTCCCCAACCCACCCAACTGGCACTTCACTAGTACTTTGTTGAGTAGGCAACATCCCTCCCCACCAGATAAGAACCCTCCAGAATAGCTCCAGGCACACTGAACAGATGGCTAAAATTTCAAGTCCTTGAACCCTCTTAGGCTTCTTGAATCTGGAAAGGATTTGAGACCAAAAATAGAACCACACAGGCTGGAGTTAAAAAAAAAGAAAAAGCCATCCTGGCCCAGGTGAACTCCTCAAGCTGGGCAGTGCCAAGGACACAGTGTCAGGAACCCTGGGATTCAGGAGGCAGCTCTGACCTTTAAATCCCACGTAATTAAAAAACTGTTTTAACCACGAACCTGGCTGAGTTCATCTATTTGCCCAACAGAAATAACCAGAAGAATTTGGAAACTTGCACCCTGACGTGGATTTTGCTGAGCCAGCTCCTTTGAGGAGCACTGAGCAAAGCCCAGCCCCTGTGCAGTTCGAAGCAATGAGCCCTCCCTACTTACACACTGGCAGAGCTCACAGATAAGGAAAGCACCCAGAGTGGCCTCCTCGTGGTTATCCTGAATGTCCACGTTGATCACATGGACCGGCTGACACGTCTCCTGCTCTCTGGAATTTAAATCTATTTGAAAACAAACAAACAAACAAACAAACAAAAAAGCAAGAGTTGGGGTGGAACTGAATCATGTTGTACATGAAGTATTAACAAGGTTTTTAAAAATGCATAGGCATTGTCACATCGGTCTTTCCCCAAACTGGTTTTTAGAATAGTTTTTATTTAACATTGCCTTACACGTTTTCTCTTTCATTTCAGAAACAAGAAATGGATTTTGGACACAGAGCAATTCAGATTTGTGGAAGGGTCATGACAGTTTATTTGCCCTGCTCAAGAAAGGTTCCTGCTCACTTTACTCTTTAAAGAGCACGATCAGGAGTCTCAAAAATCAAGGATTTTGGGCTTTCTCACCTGGAGGGGTTTAATGGCTCATTTTTTAAAAAAAAGCACTGTTCATCCAACACTCTGAATGTGACACTGCAAGGTGAGCTCCTACAAGCCAAGCACTGAGAGTCACATTAGAAAATTCCAGCTTTAATTTGTCTACTTATAAACAATGGGTAGAGGGGGAAAAAAACCCCATTCTTTTCCTACTGGTGCACCCTTGTACTGTGCCTCTCTAACACCCTTCCTACTAGACACACAAGTTGTTCTCTCTCTTCCCAATCCTGCACCTTCATTTTGGCAAACCCATCGAGGCTTCCAGTTTAAAATGCTGCCTTTCACACCCTTTGGGGTGACTGTGAAGGGCATTATTACCACGAAGGGAGAGAGGTGCACAACTGGAAAATCAAGTGGTTGATCTCCCCCTCCCTTCCTCAGGATACTCACCTGAAACATCAGAGGGAAAGCTACGTGAGACACGCTGTGCTGGCTGAAGGAACCAGAGCTGCCCTCACAACTTACTCACACATTTCAACCCTTCCCTTGAGCATTCAGAGCACTGACTGCTCGGTTTGCAGGAGCCCCAGTGTGCTCTGCCTCGTTGTGACGTGGCCACTGAGGATGGAAAAGCCAAAAGGCAACAGCCCTCTAAGTCCTGTGTATGATACCAACTCAGCTGGCTGGTCCTTCGGGGTGACAGGAACTCCTGAAATCCTGGAGCCAGCATTTCCACAGGCAGGTTCTCAGCCCAGGAACTGAGTCACTGCTGAGAGCTCAAGGTTTTGGGTGAGCTCACGTGGGGCCTGCGCACTGAGGTCATGTGGGACCCAACCCCCAGCCCAGGTGCTTCAGGCACATCTCACTTTGACTCGCTCAAGGCAAGGCCGTGTTAAACACCACTCAGGAACAGCCTCTCCACCTGTACAAGAGGTGTTTAACGGGGAGAAACTGCTCAGGAGGTCACAGGAAGCCTTCTGCAGGGTAGGCAGAAGTTGCATAAGGAAGAGATCTTAGGGCTTTGTTGCTCCATCAACCCAGGGTGGAAAAACGCTCATCACGTACCACTTGCTGGGTTTTGAGATCCACGGGCATTTCCAAACCAAACATGTACCTGAGTTTCTATAAGCCCTTCATATTGCCACCCATACACATTCCCTGGAGCTGCCAACTTCTTTTAGAAACAAGTGCTCAGCCATCCCAGCTCTGGGACACAAAGTCTACATCAAGGACTGCAAGCTCCTGTCCCCACTGGTGTCCCAGCAGCAGTAGTTGGAGGAGACAGAGGTGGTTCCAGATTTGTGAAGGACTTTAGAGGAGGGAGAGGAAAAAGCAGCCAAAGTTAACTTGGTTTATCAGTTCAAGGTCCTTACCTTCTACTACTTGATCATAGACTCTTTCTTCACACGTTAGGATCAAATCAAAAACGTCTTTGCAGTTCTGGAATCTTTCTGGTCGTGGCTTGATTCTCTTATTTCTGTCCAACATGTGTAAAATTCCATTCTGTGTGTATCTGAAGTCGCTGGAGTTAAGTATCTTCACTTTAAGACAAGTCATGTTTTCAAGCAAATGACCAGTACAAGTTAAATTATTACTGTATCTTTAAAATAAGATTCTTTCTGTTTGCCAATATAAAGTTCAACGACTATTAGAGACTCCCAAGATGACAGTGTGATCCCCATCAGGGTAAATCAAGCAGAGATCTGTCACTGTCACCAGTGCAATGGCAGGACAGCTTTAGAAGGCCCTCAGAAGAGCTCAGAAGCACAACTTTTCTTGGACAACTATTTTTATAGCCACAATGTTTAGAAACACACAGCCTGCTCTGTTGGCATAAGCAGAATGTCCTACATTCCCTTCAGGGACCTCCCTCTTCAAAGGCAATTCCAGGGGGGTTGTGGCATCACCTGCACAAAGCCCTACCTGGGTTTATGCAACTGAACTCCCCAAAGAAAGTCAAGGAAATAACAGAAGCACATCCCTTAAAAATATCCCCAAGATACATTCCCATTTAGGGAATAAGAAAAACACCGACTTTGTGCCTGTCAGAGCCTCATCACCGTGTGAAAGGAATCTGTTATGCTGCTTGGGAGCTATATTTGTGCTGCTACTGTAACCTTGAGGTTTAACATCCTGCACCCCCCTTCCAGGCAGGATTCACCAACCCCCCCGTCTCCTGAGCCTTCTGGGACACACAATTCCATCAGGAGCACTCCAGGGGTGACTGTCACACCAACCTACTCGCTTCAGAAAAACCAAACTCCCTCTGAAGGCCAAGTTTTATGGGCAAATCAGGAATACCAGGGAAGGATGGAATGCAGAAAGCCTGGAAAAGCAGATGCATCTCTCCCTTACTTTGACACAGCTGTACTTTTAGCCATCTAAGCAGATATTTTTACATTCAAAAAGCAGCCTGTAATTTCTTGAGATAACAGGATTCTGAGAAAAAAAAAAAATCATTAGTAGCAGCATGTCAGGGGTCATCTTGGCTTATTTCCTTGCTGGAAAGGTCACATACATGTATTTCTCTTCAGAGAGCAGTCCTAACATTTTTGTAACAAAAGGCTGACAACTTTCTGCCTACCTTTCTGCAGTTGCCCTCTGGTAGCTCAAAGTTCTACTCCCCTTGGCAGCCAGATGTGCAGCACGTGCTCCAAGGTGTTCTTGAACAGTCTTCAAGCAAACAGCCTCCAAAGCTGTTAAATCTCCCAAGTGTTTGAGCTCTGTCAAAAACTGAGCCCACCCTTCTACCTGTCAGATCTACTTTATATTGAGAATATATTCAGTTTTTTCATGTCTGCACCACTGCACTTCAACCACTTCACTTTGGAACAAGTGGAATGACGAGCTGTTTATCACAAATCTATGTTGTCAATTCTCTCTCAGCCAACTGACTCCTACCACATTTCTTTTCTCCAGGTCGCTCCCAAGCCTTTTATCACTCTTCTTTCCCAAAAGATTTCTCCTTATGTTATTAAAGAATTGTCCTTCATAGCCCAAAGCCCTCTTGCACACCAGCACCCACTGCTTCCTCTCAGCACCCCTGTAAACTCTCCTTGGGTTTGTCATGCTTGGGGGGAAAAAAGAAAACCAACACTTTGATGAAGCCATTTCTGACCTCTGGTTATTTCTAGAGCATTTTGAAGATGGCTGCATTTTCAAGATCCCATTTTCAAAATCTCTGTCAACACCTGGCTGTGTTGCTTTGTTCTGCTGGAAGGGGAGCCCTTTCTGGGCTCCATACTCCTCGTTTCTACCCCATGCAGTTCAAAGTAAAAAAAAAAAAAAAAAAAGGAAAAAAATCCACAACATCCCACATGCTTTTTTTTTGGGTTCTCTTTTTTCCCTTTCTAGGATAAAATGTTGCTGGCATCTGTCCCCTAGCTTTCCTGACTGAGCCTGGAGACAGAATTACGCATATTCCAAAAACCCACACAAGCTTTCTGCCTCACAGCCGAGCTTTCTGCTGCCAACTAACAGCTTTTTTTTTTTTTTTTTTCCCCTCCCTCCAAGGGTCCATCTGCCTATAAAAGGAGACTGAAATAAGCTCCTTCCAAGAGATTTCAACTCCACGCTCTCTATCCCGTGCATCTCTGCTCTTTCTCTTCAGCAGCCACTTCTTCAGCAGGCGCTCCCATGATTTTCTCCCTGCTGTCACACCTTCCCAGCCCTGCTCACACTCAACACAACCTGCCTGCATTTCTCTAAGAGCCCTTCACCTCCTGCAAACCACTGGCATAGTAAATCCATCCCATTTTGACAGGAGGTCCAGTTGAGATTTCACCTTTATTGCAGTGACTACTCTAAACAGATCCTCAGTGGGATGAAATTCCTTCATGACAGCTCAGCAGTGGAAAGACTTGATAGAAAAAGGAGATGGTGCAACACAGGTTGGGTTTTTGCAATAGATACCAGTTTCTAGAGATGAAGATACACATGTACTTAAAAAAAAAGAAGTTATGTGTGTGTTTGGATAAACTAAAGCTTTCACAGCTTCTGCTATCCAAAATTTAAAATTGTCCTAGACACCAGAAATGCCTTTTACCAAACATCCCTCACCCCTCCAACCACTTTATCAGTAATTTGTCCCTGACAGGGACACTTTCAGCCATGAGCATAAAGTCTCTCATCCTGTATGATAATGGGAAAATGACCTTACTGATTCAAGTATTCAGTAAATTGCATTTTAAGTCCTACGTGAAGCTGAAGCTCCCAAGTGATCTGAGTTGGAAGTTTTGGGGTATATAAATTAATTACATAGTCATCTAAAATCCCCATTCCTGGAAGTGTCCAAGGTTGCTCTTGGACAGGGCTTGGAGCAATCTGGGCTAGTGGGAGGTGTCCCCACCCATGGAGAGAGGGTGGAAGGAGATGAGCTTTAAGGCCCCTTCCAACCCAGGCCATTCTATAAAAATACTCTAGAGGCCACTTTATTAAACATAATTGGGCAAAAAACACTTGTTAAAAAGTAGACATACTTTTTTTTTTTTTTTTTTTGGGGGGGGGAATCTTTAAATTAATGGTTGGCATCCAAAGGTTTCTACATCTTCAAACAAATCTGCTTCTCACACCTGCATCTGCAGGTCTCTTTTCCACACCATCTAAATTTACTTATTAGTACCTGCATTATAATATTAGTGCCTGCATTATAAATAGCTCACATTGCCTGCTTGGCAATTTGTCTAGAATAGATATTTCCTTAAAGGATGTGTGTGGGGAGGGGTGAGGCTGCCCAACCTTTTTCCACCTTCAGCATCAGCTCCTTTTACAGGGAATAAAAGCCTGAAAATGGGCCTGGGCACTACAAATTCTGCCCCCCAAGCTTGGCGCTCACAGCTGCAAGAACTGCCCTCACTCCACAGCCAGAGCACAAACTGCCTTCCACTTGAATTGAAATTGGTTGGGTTTAGTACAAACCAGTTTGGTCACCAGGCTTCTGTGGTGCTCTGAAGTCTAAACACTGAACCATTCTACGATTCTACTGGATTCAAAATGAAAAGAGAGTAGGTTTAGATGGATAGTGGGGAGAAATCCTTCCCTGGGAGGGTGAACCCTGGCACAGGTTGCCCAGAGAAGCTGTGGCTGCCCCTGGATCCCTGGGAGTGTCCAAGGCCAGGTTGGACAGGGCTTGGAACAACCTGGGCTGGTGGAAGGTGTCCCTGGTGGAACTGGATGATCTGGAAGGTCCCTTCCAATCCATACAATTCTGGGATTCTTTGATTCTAAAACATGCCATTCCAAACCCTAAGGAAGATATTAAGCTGGGTTAAGTAACGTTTCTGGTAACATCTGTGCCTGCATTAATGACCTGCAAAGAACTGAACTTGTTTTTCTTGTGAAGGACAACTACCTGGGATTTTTAAGCTACAAACTGCACAGAGAAGCCCAGCTGAGCCTGCTCAAAGCAGCTGGTCCAAATACAACCACATGGCAGCCCTGCTCACTCCCTCAAGCCTGGCTGAGCCCCAGAGCTGAGGGCACAAACCCAAACATCAGCAGAAGCAGGAAACATCTTGAGTTTAAGCCCAGAGCTCAAATGCCAGTGATTTGTTGGTGCTGAAGAGCTGAAAGAGTGTTTGGGGATGGAACTGGACAGAAACAAGCTGTCAAATGCGAAAAGGAGTAATGGGAAAATAAAAGACCTGGAGAAGGGATGGCTTAGATATACTGAAGGGACTAAAGGAAGACAAGGAGAGCAGAGATGGACCAGAAGATGACTTGGAAGATGTGGCAGGTCTGCCCATGCCATCCAACAGCTGACTATGCACTTCATCCAAGCGTGAACTTGAAGAGGAGTCTGGAATGCTGGAATGTCCAGTGTTTGATCACTTGGCTCAAACTACTGCCAAGTCCACAACGTGACAGGGACACGTCAAAAAAAGGAACACAACAGTCACTGTCAGGACCAGCGGGGCAGGAAAGCTCACAAGTGTCACCCAGGACTTTTAGAGGCTCTTCTCAGGTTTGGAAACCAGTGCCAGGTTCCAGAGGATGAGCAGCAAACTGGGCTGAGGGGGGAAGAGCTCTGAGGAGGCTGTGAGGAGAGGGGTCTGGGAGAGAGGATGAGTCACCCCATTTACCATCTCAGGGAAGCAGGGGCTGCAGTAGCCCTTCTCAAAGGGCCTTCTGCTGCTCTCACTGCTTCGTGCTGCAAAAGCCAAAAGGGATTTTCAGCTACCTGGAGTTCGGGATGGATAGGGAAGCTCAGAGAAAGCAAATCACAAAGCATCTACAAACCCTAAATCAATTAAGCCGTTTCAATTTAAGGCATTTTGGAAAGCTGAGAACACAATCACAAAGCCAGCAGGGCCACTCTGGAACAGCAGCACACCAGGGAAGCAACAACGCTGGATGAGTCTGCAGGAAACAGTCCTCAGTGCAACACTGGCTTGCAATTAACGCCAGTTTAGGAAATTACAGTCACTACCATGAAAATGGAAATGGATTTGGAATCATTTTAAGGGAAAAAAAAAAAGAAGTGCAAGCATCCCTTATGTTGGCACAGAAATTCTGTGTTGATGGGAGGTAAAGTCTTCAACGCTCCCCTCCTTTAAGTGGGGATGGAAGTGCCAAACCTGGGCCAGTAAATGGAATCACTGCAATTCTAAGTGGATTTTACAGGAGTCCTCAGCCTCAGATAGGATCCTTGGGTCAGAATTCCTTAGAGCATCTGTTCAGGACTCACCTTGGCTAAGGAAAGAAACATTCCAAAGACTACCTGGCAGACTGGCAGGATGGCAGAGGATGTTTTATGTGCTCAAGAGCATTTAATATTAGATTGCAGTTTCAAACACAGGGGAAATAGCATTTAAATAATACATTTCTAGTTTATATATTTTTCATAAATTTATATATTTCCTTTTTAATGCAAATGAAGCCAAGATTAAAGGCATTCTGATCAGAAGTCAGACTAAAAAGTACTGAAAACTGCTGTGCTGGAAAGGCCTGGGACTTTGTGAAGTGTTTTGGTCTTATGATACTTCATGGAGAAAAAGGAACTGGAATTCAGCTGTGGCTGGAAGCATATTGATTCACACAAATGTGCCTCTTAGAAGCCTGTTCAAATCCAGTTTAAACAGTGCTTTCCACCCTCATCCCTTCCCTCTATTTCTAGGAGCACATGTAAAGGAAGAAAATGAGACTTGTACTGCACTGCATTTGGAAGAATTTTGCCACTGACAGGCAGGCCATGACTCCAACTATTTTTAGCTGTTGGAAGGTCAGGCTTCAAAAAAAAAAAAATCAGAGAAGAAAAAAAACAAATCCAACCTAAAAAAAAAACCCCAACAAACCAAAACCCAACCCTAAACATATCTAAAATAAACCATCCCAGAGTGGTTTCCAGACACAGAAGCTATCCTGCTGACCACTGGAATGACAGTTCAGAACAGAAGCTTTGAACTGCTTATCAGTTCCAAATCCACGAGAAAACCAGATAAAATGGAAGATAAATACATGCATAAGAGCTTACCTGAAGTAGAGTTAAATAAGTTACTGCTCAAGACTGAGCTACAGGGCAATACCACCTGGGCATCCAGGTTCAGCATGGAGTTCACAGAGCAGAGCTACATCCCAAACACCAAGATTAGCACTACCTTTCTTCTGACAGAAAAGAATCAATATGTCTTCAAGAGAGATGTACCAAGCCAGTTTCTCTTCTTCATTTGGAAATTTTCCCTCTAACAAGCACACCTTTAGGAACATCTTGAGGATGTTCCACCCTCCCCGCAATTTTATATCCTCGTGTAACTGTGGAGCTAAAACTGGAGTGCTGCCTAGAGAGCAGGTCACATTAAAACAGGAGGTAAGAGAGGGAAGGGAGCAAGAGGCCAGGCTTGCAGATCAGATGCAGGCTAGAGATCCTAATTAAAAATACCCACCCACCTATGGAAATCATGGGGCACCTTTAACGTGAGGCTCACAGAGACACCAGTGTTGAGAAAAGGAAAGGAACAATCAGTCAGGGAGTTAGTCAACATTGATAAAGGATCCAGGAGCTACTGCTGCAGAATTTTGGTCAAATTTCCATTTGAACAGTTCCTATCCCTGGGCATAAAAGCAACTGCTGATGAAGATTTAAACTGGTGTTTAGCAAGTTTCATCCTTGACTAATTTTTGAGTTCACCTGAAGGCAGGGCTCACCAGTTTTGCTCTATTTTTGCTTCACCTTTAAAGTCACCACCATATAATTAGAATTAAGTCCTCAAACCCCCTCACACAGTTTTAAGGGGCAAGTAATCACGATCCTAGAAAGGTGGATTACACATGCAAGTACAATTTACATGCATTACACACACAGCCCCAGAGGTGCTGCATGGCCATGTCTCCTCCAGATTAGCAGTAGAATCCTCTACTGTTGTCTTAGAAATAATAGAGGAATATTAAAAAAAAAAAAAAAGGTAAGCAAAAGCCACATTCAGAACAGCTTTGTCACAGCCCCCTCTTAGGGCTCAGGGAATTTAAATGCTATATTCTCCAAAAGCAATGGGAGATGTGGGTACTTATTTTAACTATAAGTTTAAACTACCACATCTTAAAAGGCTTTGAAGTACTTCCATTTTGGAGACACTGTAACCACCTACTCAAGCGAATCTCTTATTCCTGTGCTTCTTAAATTCAACATATGCCTTCAAGGTATGTGAGCCTGTGCTCTATATTTCACTAATTAACTATAATGAAGGTGCTTTTAGTCTCTGTAGAGTGGGTTTTTAATAGTTGTCCCCCCTTTTCACAAGTGAGCAGGAGAGGTTCGGTGGATCTTCTCTCTCACACGGTTTTAACCTTGCTCTGAGGGAGGTCCAACACTGCAGCAGCTCTTTGCTGTTTGTGACCACTGCTTTTGGAAACTGGGGTAGTTTCTTTGGGCAGGGGATGGTCCATGTCCCTCACAGCCCCAATTTCACGGGGTATGTGGGGTGCACAGTGCCTGGGATCCCTGCTGGCACGTGGGACTGGAAGGAGATCACTCCTGAGTGAGGCAGAACTGACTGCTGAGCCCTCACACCTCCCATGGCTCCTGCTGCCATGTGGGAATGTCCCCAGGACACCCCATTTCACACCACATGGAAAGGCTACAGCTGAGAGTCACATCCACTGAGCTGATGGAAGCAAGGCTGGGGAACAGAACAAGCAGCTCAATCATATGGAAACACAGGTCCTTTTGTTTCCCCACCCCAATCCAAGCCCAGGAGAAGAGCAGGCCCTCCCCCTACCCAGGCCATGCCCCCCCACCCCCAGCAGGTAATGCTCACCCAAAAGGACTGAGGTCCCTGTGCCCCTGGTTCACAAACACCTATTCCACACCTCGCTGATGAGAGCAGCTCTGCCTTTGCTTAAAGTCTTTACCCTCAAAACCCACTTCTGGAAAATGGAGTTGACTTCTGTGCTGAGTCTTCAGTCTGAAAACCTCAAATCAGCCGAGGACCATAAAAGCAAAGTCACAGAGGCAATTGCTCCTGCCCTATTTCCCTTCAGATGGCTGTTGTTCAAACCTGCTTCCCTTCATCTTGAGAAAAGGGTTAACTGTGACTCTGCAGATGCACAGTAACCATGTCCAGCATGAAGCAGAACCACAGAGGCAACTCCTAAACATGCTGAATGATGGGGCTGGGCAGGCTTTCTGCTGTTTGGGGTTTTTTTTAAGCACTGCCATACTCAGTACAGCAGCAATGAAGGATGCAAAAAGGAAATCACAAGTCGTTAGTGCTTGTTAAAATTAATTCTCAGTTCAAGTTCTTTTCTTTTGAAGCAGTTCTTTTAATCAAGATATGGATATGACATACCTCGTTACGATGGGTTAGCAAGATTTGCCTTTTCTCTGTAGGCAGAGGGATTAAAAAAAAAAAAAACAACTAATAAATAAACCAGCACATCACATGTGATCCAGAAAGACTACATCCTATATCCTACATTTTGAATTTTTTTTTTTAAAAAAAAATCTCTGTTGGAAAAAAAGAGTATCTAGAGTGAGTGCCCCAATTTTATAGTAGGTTTGTGGGTTTTCCTAACAATAATTAAAAAAAAAAAAATCAACTTTAAATATAGGTATTTTAAAATCAGTTTGACATTAGTCATGGTTTTTAGTAGTGTGCCTAACCCTGATCACCTCTGCTCTCCAGGATCAAATATGTTACTGGGCTCTCCTATCTCCATTCTTTATAATACACTACAGGATTATTTTTTTTCTTGGTGCACAGATCACGTACCACGAAATCCTCAGTGAGAAGGGTGAGCTCTTTAATGAAAGGTATCCTCTCTCCCAGAGAAAGTATCTGTAAACCTTACCTGGCAGTTTGTCTGAGCTAAATACAACATAAATGTCGAGGTGGTCGCTCTTCCCAGCTCCATTATCGGGACAGTCTTTGCACTGAGAGCGTGTGATCCACAGTGCAGTGCAGGCAATGGGCAATCTGTGAGTACCGATGTGCTTTCACTCAAGAGCTAAACATGTTAACACACTACAAAAGAGCATTTGGGGATGTGTGCATTGTAACTCAGCAATTTTACAGGGGAGCACTAGAGGCCCATTGTAAAAAAATAAAAAAAAACTATAAACTGAAATCATTTTAAGTTCTCCAAGTCAAGCAACTCTCTGTTCCTAACGCATAATGCCAAGTAATGAATTACACCTTTCAAGGATGAACCACATGGGATTTTTTAACGAGGCCATGCCACGGGGATACAGTTCTTTGTCTTTCCTAAGCAGATCATTGTACATCTGATCATAGGTTGTTTTGAAGTCATAAACATTTGGCTTGTCCGGTGCCGGTCCCGGCAGTTTCACGTGAGTCCCCGTGCCAAAGGATCGGACGCTGAATCCTCGTTTGCTGCAAGACAGGAGGGAAGGGGAGAGGGGAGGCAGTGAGATCGGGTGATTTCCAACAGGAGAAGCGCTGAAGAACACAGTGAGCTTTGAAAACGCCTCTCAGCAATCAGCCAAATCACAGCCAGACAGTTCAGCAGCCAAACCGCCGGGCATTCCCAACGTGCAGATTTCCTTGCAGTTGCAATCCCAGTTCACACACCATTTCTAAAGGAGTACTTATATTTGACAGGAATTTTCTTACAGTTGTGGTACACAGCTTTTTGGATATTTCTTTTGTGCTTTCAGACATCCTGGCTTTGCAAGAAGCATGTGTTTTGTATTCACTTCTCAACAATAGAGCAGAGGCAGAGATGTTTTTCTCTTCGTATAAGTAAGTAAAAGTACCAACTGATCAATACTCAAATGTTCTGCTGAAGTCCCTGGGATAACTACATTATTCCTCTCACTTTGTGGCCCAAACTACCTCTGGTGTAATTTAATTAGCCCAGGACAAACATTTGTGTGCCTGGCACTTTGCTCAAGTGCACTGCAAACCATCCAGTGTAATTACATTTACACAAGGGGGGAGATATTCTGCTGGCTGGTGCCTAAAACTGTGGGGTGAACCAGGGGCTGCTCCATTCCATTCTTAGGAACAACCACTTGTTGAATAGTTCTAATTAAAATAAAAAAAAGGGAGGCAGGAACCTGTTTGTCTTTAGGGGTAATGTCAAAATGTTCTTTCTGATTAACCAAAATATTTGTACTTGAACCTCAGTACATCCTTCGGTAAATATATTTGTGGAGTAACAGGACCAAAAACAGGTTTTTCTCCTGGTCTAATGGACAAAGTTACATGGTAAGATACTGTTGCTGTTGTCCAGAAGGCTGAAACATTTGGGTCTATAATGACAATGTAACTTGAAACAGGTCAAGACCATGACCTAATCTGTCTTTTCCAGGACTCCCAGTTCCAGCTTCAATGATTTTTAGCAGAGAATGAACGGACTGAACAATGGTAAAACAAAAAGCAAGCAAACAACCCAGTGCCTGTGCCTTCCCACTCCCCCAAAACAACCCCAAATCTGTAGAGTTTGCCACAGAAAACAGGAGACTGGGGACCTGTGAAAGAGTCACCCCTGGACTCCTTGGTCAGCACATACAAACCAGCAAGGAAATCCAGCAGGAGACACCGATTCAAACTGCCTGTTTGCCTTCAGAGTGGCCCAAAATGCTTCTGTGCACAGACTGCTGGGATCAAGTTCTGCCCCGAGCTCACACACTGCTCTGCAGCTATCAACACTTATTTCCTTTCATTCCTCCTATAAGGACACAGCCCCTCCTTTCTCTTTTCTTGCTCCCCTCCTTTTTCCTCCAGCAACTATTTATAGGTCCCTATTTCTGTAAACAGACAGGATACATGATGATTTTTGCTTCTTTCTGCAGGACTAATGACTGAAAACGGATGCAAGAGGAAAAAAGTGCAATTCTTTGCCCCTCCCAGCCCTCCATCACATGTAACTGGTGCAGTTATGAGTCACTGGTAATTTATTTTCCCTGCAATATTTCCAGACCCATGTTTTTATTCTGCTGCTCCTACTGGGCACAAATTGAGCCATAGTATGTATAGAAGAAACTGCAATGCCAATAATTTAGTTTCACATTAATCTTTTCTTCTATGGTTTCCTCTTAACTTTTACTTTGTTCTTTTAATATTATTCTTTGAAAGAGGTCTGTTTGCATCACAGGCATCAAAACCCCCACCTCCAGCTGCTGGAAGTGTCCCTGAATGATCTCATCTAAAGCAAACCAGAAATCTTCATTTGATGTTCCACACAGCAAAAACTGGTGCCTCCAAGGCCCGTGACCCACTGAAAATTACTTCCTTAGAGCTGGAGTATGTGTTTCTCACATGGAATTTCATGCTTTGTACCCTGGCAACTGGCAGTGTCAACTTTTACACACCGGGTGAACCGCTAGGAAATACTCTAGAAGTGTTTCAACACATTTCTTGCAACAACTGGGGCATGGGAGAGGGGAGGATGCCTGCACAGAGCCTTTATTCACCAGCCTGCTTTTCTTAAACAGCTGGAGAGATCCAGTGCAGTGAGTCACTATGTGTGTGTGTGTGTGTGTGTGCTCACGTGGCACAGCCTGTTCACCGTGAATGGCTCCTGCAAGACAACCTGTACCCAGGGTTTGTTCTTAAACTACCCAGGAGGTGGAAACAACGAGCTGCAGCTTTGGCATGAACAGCAAAGGGTGGCACAGACCCACTGACTATCCCAGCACTGATCTCTGCAAACACGGAGCTTAAACATTAACAGAACTGTATACAGTGCCACATTTCAGGATGTTGTTTCTATTAATAGCATCGAGGCCGATGCAGATGAACTACCGATACATTAAGGACAAAGTGAGTCAGTGCATGGATTCCTTTTGTGCTCACCTCATCCCAGTGCAGAGCTCATGACAGTGAGTTCTCTGCACTCTTACTCATGTGCCCCTGAGCATTTTCAGAGCTCACTGCAGACAGCCCTTCTCAGTGGGACACCACTGCTGCTGAAAGCACACAGCACTGCCCCAGCACTGACACTCCACAGGGTTGGTACCACTCAGCTTCAGGTACTGAGAGCAGAAATATTAACCTGTGCAGACTGAGATGGGAACTTCTGTCCACACCTTCCTTCTGTTTCATTGTTGTTTCGAGATCTCACACATTCTTATTAAGGTATTTTTTCTGTACAGTCCCAGCAGCACAGCTTCTCTTTACAGTATTACTAAACTTAAAGCAAATGCAATCCTGCAGTGCCACTGCAGCTCGTAGTGGTGAAGATTTTCAGGGGACCAATCACTAATCTGAACACAACCCTTCCTATAAGATGTAGCAGGAAAATAACTACCAACAGTGCCCTCCTTGTAGGCTACTTAGCATATTATGCCATTCAATAAAGACAAAAAAATCCCATCCCCCAGAACAACCCCACACTGTTAAAAAGCAGGACAAAAGTGTTGTTAACTGATTTTGAATACTACCAACTTGCTCTAATTTGCATCATCACTAACAAAATGTCAAATGAAGTGTTTTAATCTAAAATTTTGAGAACATTTCCTTCTTCTTGAGGGTTTCCTAATACAGCTTAAGTAGGAAATATAAATGCCAATACCTCACTGCATTTAGCTGCTGACAAATGATGCCAGGAGAGAAGCTGTGACTAACAAATTACACAAACAGCACTGCTGCAACTTAAGTTCCCTCACAGGGTCAATGTTGAACTACAAGTCTTATCAGCAACATAAAATTTAAGTTTTAGCCAGTGTAGTTTTGATATTTAAAACTCTATACTGTCCCTAAGACACTGTTTCCTAAAACAAAAGAATATGTGGTTTAAGTGTGTATCAGCATCCTACAGTAGAACAGAGACTGAAGTCAGTAACTTCCTTTCAAGGCCATCAAGGTACTACCAAGCAAACACACACAAATGGAAGTGTGGAAGTTGGTGCATAAAAACATTCGGTTATAAGAGAAATTACTCTTCTGCCTCCCTCCTCTGTGTTTGAGGGAGAAACCATGGCCTGTCTGCAGGGGCAAATAAAAGAGCGTGCTGGGTTCATTCTCCTCACAGCAGCAGTGTTTGGATTGTGTTGGTGTGAGCAGTGGTTTGGATCTGTGTTGGTAGCAGAGCACCAAGGCCTGTTGTGCTTCTCACCCCGCCCCAGCGGGTGAGGGTGCAGGTCAGGTGGTGAATAATGCAGGATGAGTAAGGTGTGACCCAGCGACTGGTTCCACACACCCAGTCTGACAAGGAGGAGCGTGTCCTTCTGCACAGCCCCAACTGCTGCTCCTGTTTGCCCTTTGCTTCCGTGGCTCAACCTGTGGGATAGCTCTTATCCTATCAACAAACTTCACACACACCTCCAGCCTGACTTTTCTGTTGGAAAATTAGGACAAAGCGTTTAAAACTGGTTTATTACAAAATACGCAAGTACACACTGAAGGCTGGGCCCCAGACTTTGTTTGTTGATAGTCACCTGTACTTCTGATAGAATTTGTATCCCTTAAAGTCTTATAATCCACTAACAACATACCTGAAAGTTTCATAACTCCTCAGTTTCTTCCTCTTTTAATCGTGTGTTCTTTTTCAACTGCAGTGCAAGACACAGCAAGACACTGCCTGAACTGGTGAGGCAGATGGGCTTTGAGCCAACACAGACATTTTCCTGACAAGCCACCATTCTCATTCCATGGGGCAGTTATTTCCTTATCTTTGCATTGCCAACTACTGCCATAGTGACAGAAAATTAAACATTTTTCCAAATAAATACAGTTTGTCACGTTTTAATTAAGATTTTAAGGGGGAACAGACTTTAAAAAACCCCGAACATTCCCCCGCCACGTTTGCCAAACACCAGTCACACCGGAAGCGATTTATTTCTTCTGCAAAAACACGAGAGGAAGGAAAAGGCCTGACGTTGGAAGTAAATTTAACCTCGTCATTAGTACTCAGGGTGCAATTAAAACCCAGTTTCAGTGTTATTAGCAGAAGAAAACAGCATCGTGTTTTCACAGGTAACACCTGATGCCAAGTTTAATCCCTGACAGCACGAAATGCTGCTCACAGTAAGATGGCTGCCAGAACCAGATGCTTCTATTATTTCTTCCTTCCAAGGCTATTATTTTTATTTAAATGTAGCACACACAACCTACTTATAGTTGTTCAGCTTCTTATGCCAGCTACGTGTATTTCTAATGTGAATGTTTCTTCGCAGAACTTTAATAAAATAAACCCAACCACCTTCACCGTGTTCCTGCAGTGCAAAGGGAAGATTTAGGGACGTGATTTCAGGCAGATCAGGTCTCCTCCTGCCCGTCAGTCTGTCCCCAGTCTCCAATCTCCCCTTTTGAATTCAGCCAAGCTGAAAACACCTGGAGTCCTAAACAGATTAACACCTATAATCTCAAAGACATTTAGCATTCTGACCCAAGCACTTGGTCTGGTTTTCCTGCAAGAGGAAAGGGCTCCCTTTCAGGGCATGGAGTGGTTCCAGTCTTCATAGGATGTCAAAGGATTAGGATGGACCTTAAATATCGTCCTGTTCCACCCCCTGCCATGGGCAGGGACACTTTCCACTAGGCCAGGTTGCTCAAGGCCTTGTCCAACCTGGCTTTGAACACTTCCAGGGCTGGGGCAGCCACAACCTCCCTGGGCATCCCGAGCCAGTGCCCCACCACCCTTTCTACCGCAGTAAAAAAAAAAACTTCCTCCTAACCTAAGAATTTCCCCTCTTTCAATTTGTACTCCTTGTCCTATTACTATTACTACTCCAGCTCCTCACGAAGAGTCAGTTCCTCTGCGGCTTCCCCCCTGTAGGCCCCCTTCAGATGCGTTAAAGTGGGGGGAAAAAAAAAACTGGGGGGGGGGGAAATAAAAAATAAAAAATCTTAAAAAAAAATAAATTAAAAAAGGGGAACCTTCAAGTTTTCAAGAGGCGAGACACAGGCCCTCGTTTTGCGCCTGCCGAAGGGCCTAGCCCGTGTTTTCAGCGCCGGGTCCGGAGGGGCCCACCAGGGAGGGCGGAACAGCCACCACCGCTCCGGGACTCCCCCCCAAACCCAGCCCTGCCCAGGGATAGGGGGGAAGGGGCGAACAGGACCGTATCCCCCGATCCCCTTTCACCGAGCGCGGCCCGCCCTGAACAGCGGAGCGGCCCGGGGCCTAAAGGAAACCACCCCCACCCCTGCCATCCCCGGTTACCTGAGGATGTTGTGAGCCTCCATGCTGCGGTTCTGGTTGCTGGAGCACACCACGGCCACGCGGAGCGGCGCGGAAGGCATGGCAGCGGCGGGGGACGGGAGGGAGGGGATGGGGAACGGACGGGGAAAAGAAGGAGCTCCCGCCCGCGGCTGCCGGCCGCGGCTCGCACAAAATGGCGGCGCGGCGGGCGGGGAACGGGGACGTGTCAGCAGGGCCGGGCCGCGGGCCCGAGCCGGGGGAAGGGCGGTGGGGAGGCGGAGCGGCGGCCGCCGCTCCGCCTCCCCGCCGCCCGTCCCCCGGTTCTGGCCCGGGGGGCTGTGGGAGACACTGTCAGGAATTAGGGGTCTGTGGCATGTTTGGTGTGGGGCTCCGCCGCGCCCTCAGGCACGACATGGAGGGACGGGGTAGTCGCGCTCTGCCCTGAGGCGGCCCCGCCTTGAGTACTTGCTTTGGGCGGCAATAAAGAGTATTAAAAACCAGTGTGTGTATGTACATATATATATAGAGAGCGAAGAAGGGTGGTGATGGGGTCTTGAGGGGAAAGCCTTGTGAGGAGCGGCTTCGGCTTGGAGAGAAGATGGAGGAGGGGGGTGAGGGGAGACGCCATGGCGGCCTAACGGCTTCTTCCTGAGGGGGGGAAAAGTGGAAGAAGGGCGGGCGCTGATCTCTCCGGCGATCAGCGGGCAGGACCCGTGGGAATGCCCTGAAGTTGCGCCAGGGCAGGGTTGGATTTGATATCAATAAAAAAGGTTCTTCCCCCAGAGGGTGGTTGGGCACCGAACAGGCTTCCCCAGGGTTTGGTCGCAGGCCCGAGGCTGACAGAGCTCAAGGAGTGTTTGACAACTCCCTGAGGGACAGGGTGGGATTGTTGTTGGGGTGTCTGTGCAGGGCCAGGAGTTGCATTTGTGGGTCACGGAGCCTTGTGGGTCATGAATTCGTCAGCCTTGCTGGCTCCTCGGCCTGCGAAATTAAAACCACCAACTCGTCAGGAAAGCGGGGCCGTCGGATGGTTTTCTCTCTCGGCACTAGGTGGCATCCAAATGTCAGCAGTGGGCCACCTGGGCTGGGACACGGGAGAGATCCCCAGGGGAAGTGTTTGGATGGAGAATTGAGTCATCCCGAGGAAGAAAATTGGGTCCGACACCCTGGATAATCCCACGGCCATGGCTGTGCCCGGAGCGCTCTGTGCTGAGGGATCTGAAGCGAACGTAACACAGACACATGCTTGCTGCTACAATTAATCATGAAATTACGCATTTTAGGAGCGTTTACGCTCGGGCTTTTACTGAAAACTGCACGAATAAGGGTGGCCAAAACAAGGGGTTATTTAGGTACCCCCTGCCTTGTAAAAATGCAAGGATTTCAGGATTGTTTTCAGGCAGACAGGTCAAAATTATCATGGTGCTCCTTGCTCAGCCCAGCCCAATTCCATTTTTGCCTGAGGCTTTCGTCATCTTTTCCCTTTTCCATCTCATTGTGCTTTTCCACCTTGATTTACTTGCACTATTTCAGTGTCAGAAGCAGGTAACAGGGAGCAAGAGAAATACAAGATAAATCAGGACATCAAAGGAACAAATCTATTCCCCAGCCCAGCTGAACTTCACTAGCAAGGCAGGACTCTTCTCTGTGCTTTCTAAAAATATGTTCTGCCCTCCCATTGGTATTTTTTTTGTTTGTGCTTTCTGAGGAATTTTTTTCCACACTGTCACCTCAGCACTTCCAGAGGAGCCTTTTCCCACCTTTCAGCACCTTTATCACCTGCTCCCACAACCCGCCGCTCTCCTCTCTCCTTGTGCAAAAGCCTCCCTCAGAGCATCCATGTAAACCCCTTCCTCTTGTATTTTCCATTAAAAAAAAAAAAAAATCCCTTTTTTCACTATTTCCTCGACTTTCCCAAAGAAATCTTTCCCCCTCCCCTCAGCTGCTTCCCTCTCCTCAGACCTTCCCTCTCACGCAGCCATTTTGTCACCCGCCTTAAACGTGTCCCCTCAGAGCTTCCTCGGCCCTTCCTGCAAAACCTTCTTCCTTTGGGTGCCTGCTCAGCCATTCTTAATCACCCTGCCCACTGCTTTCTTAATTCTTACTCTACGAAGGCACCCTGGAGATCCTCTGGTGGTTCTGGGATCCCTGGTTAAGTGGATTATTAGAGATGTAGCAACCAGACCTAAAGCAACGCCAGTCAGGGGGGTGTTTGCTTAGGCTAAAACTGCCAAAGACCCCGTCCAAGCATCACTGCCGTAATTCCAAGCCTTTAACAGGAATGTGACACTGTTATCTGCCACTTTTCCTACTTTCAGCCCACTCTTCCCAGCCTTTCTTTCGGAACATACTGGTGAAATACAGCAGCAGTTTGCAGTCTTGTAAGACTACAACTCCAGGTCTCCATGGAAGCAAAATACCAGCTTTCACTTGCACCTCCAAATAAAGCCGAGCAGCTTTTCCTTTTATGGACCACAAAAAATATCATAATGCAATTAAGAGAGATTTTTTGCCTGAGGCACAGACTGTTTCCTCCAGAAAAGCTGGGGTCAGGCTGGGCTTCGAGCTGCTCACATTTAAGCAGCAGCTTTCCTCACATTTAGCACAAGGCAAGGGAAAAAAAGGTTGTTAATGAGCATGTGATTCTCCATTTCAACTCCTGCAGAAATGCAGGATAATGCAACACCTAAGAACATACCTGTCATAGTTCTGATTTTAGCAAGAAATTTTGTCTTTCCTTTCCCCTTCCCCCTCCTGCGTGTATGTGTTAATGGGCCATCAGATAAACAAAGGAGTTGGCCTGAGCCCTAAATGACCAGACATTAATCTCCTAGCAACCAAGGGGGAGGAATTGGGAAAAAGGCCAGGGTGTGTGTATGGAAAGAGGTGGGGAGGAATTGGGAAAAGGCCAGGGTGTGTGTATGGAAAGGGGTGGGGTTTGGGGGTTGGAGCTCAGCTCTGGAGCCGGAGGGGAGGCTGCAGCAAGGAGGAGAGACTGCCTGGTTGCTTCTTTGTCTTTTCCTGTGGGAGAGGAGTTTTTTGCTGCTGTCTCTCTGCGCAGTTGTTTGCTGGTTGCAGGCTTGGTTTCACCGCGAGATCTTCACCAGCTGAGTCGTGAGTTTTTCTTCCATAGGGAGAGCTTTCTGCTTCCCTCCCCCTTCCCCCCTCCTCCATCGCCACCCGGCGGCGACCAGGGATCCCACAGCGCCGCCCGGTGACGGGGGCTGGACATTGCAAGTTCTACTCCTCCAGTGATCCAACAGCGCCCCCTGGTGACTCCTATAGAACATCACAAGTTCTGCACTTTTTTTTTGATAACTCAACAGCGCCAACCTGGTGAATGGTACAGGACATTACAAATTTTGCATCTCCAGTGACCCGACGGCACCCCCTGCTGACTGTGGCTGGAACTGCACCAAAGGATGCTAAAAATTGAACTATTTGATTTTCTTTTTTGCCGGTTTTATCGGTTTTGTTCTTGAAGGGGATTATTGGTGGGTATAGGGGTATTGCTTGGTTGTTTTACTTGTCTTTTTTTTTTTTTGTGTTCCTGTTAATACACACATACCTTTTAATAAAGGGCTGTTATTTTTTTCCCTTTTCCATAATTTGTTTTCCTTCAATCGGAGCCTCTTAATTTTGAATTTATAATTGCTAGAAAAGGAAGTTTGGGTCTTTTTCTCCTAATCCATCCTCAGCAAAAGACCTTTGTCTCATTTAAACTGGGACAATACCACACATACGGTACACTGGGGTATTGCATACATTAATGTTGTCATAATTTTACAGTAGGCAATGGAATACCATTATGGCCAATGTTTGTGCAGATTCTCCCACTTTCAGTCAAACAAGATCTCGAACCATTAAATATTTATGAAGTTTTCATTTCTTTTCATTATTGTCTTAATTTATTAAGTTCAATGCCAAGGTGGTACAAGGCTCATTGTTTCTGCAGTTGATTTTCACATCTGGCAATTCGTGACAAGATGAAGAACAGAACAGTAACACTGGTTGACAGAAGCTGACAGAGATGTACAACATCAGTGGCACTCTCATGGTCCTGTGCAGAACTGGCTACAGGAAAAGCTGACTTGAAACCTTTAAAAGACCTTTGACCAAAATTTGTCTTAATGCTCTTAAAAACTGATTGCCTTTTCTTTCAGCAGTCAACCTCCCTAGAGATAAAAAAAGAAAAATGATGATATTGTCCTTCATCCACCATGATGACACCATCTTCCTGCTACACTGGATACTGCCAGCCTGCCAAAATCAAGTATACAGGCAAGGTAATAAACAGAGAACACTTAAACTGAGTCAGCTGCATGTGGGAAAGAAAACAAAGCAAGAATAACAAACAAATAAAAGGTATTTCTGCCTGACGAAATACAGACCTTCAGTTTCTCAGCCACTCCCAAGTTATTGAAGGGATTATGATCAGTGCAAATACTGTATATTATTAAGGATTCCATATACTGTCTATATTTACCCTCTACTACCAAGTTGATACTTCACAAACTACTTTCACAAAGAAAAGCAAACAGGTCGTTCACCAGAGCTAAACATTTACACAAACAGATCACATATGAACCTGACGTGTTTTAACAGCAACACCCCTTTACAGAAGAGTTGTTCCCCTACTTTTCTTTTTTGCTTTAGGTGCTCAGTTTCTAAGTGATGTAAATTAATTCTGTGTTACAGCAGTCAACTACATACAAACAACACGAACTAAAAACTAGCTCACTAAATAAATACCTGACAGTAACTATTTTGTGTATATATAATAAGGTTCAAGTAATGATCAGCCCGAGCTTGTTTTGTTTTGTTTTTTTTTTTAAGAAAACAAACAACCAAAGAGACGAGACCAACAACCACCAGTTTCAGAGACAAGAACACGAGCGAGATACACTTGTCTATGAGGACTACAGGAACAGATATACCAAGAAAATGGGATGAATTCTTAGCACTAAGGCACAATAGAATTAATACTAGAGTATGGCTAAAACCTTACTTACTACAGCATCGAGTGAGTAGTTAATGAGGAGTGTTCCTACGCTCAAAACGCTCGGCTACATCAGTGAGTTCTGTGTTCAAGAAGCGTCTACCTTAGTGTAGCTGCACACAGCACTGCTAAAAGAGGGGATTTCGGAGGGAGGGACGGTGCTCACTTACACTGTACTTATTT